TATAGCTAAACAAAGAAGAGCTGTCCAACATCAGCATGTTCCTGAATTCAGACAAATCATGGCAACACTCGGGAAAAACCCAAGAGAACCCAGTGGCTGTGGGGGATTTAGGTTCTCACGTCCTGCCAAAGCAACAGTCATCTATCAAGCGGACTCGACTACCGGCACCGCTCGCACTGGAGCAGCAATGTTCGAGCCAAAAGGTTGCAGCCATTAAGTTCACGCGGCAAAGATGTGCATTCTTTGCCCGTGTCGATTTGAAACTTGGGCAAGCAACAGTTAAAAAAAAAAGACACGGAGCCCAAGTCGCACATTCTCAAAATGGCAACAGCAGGCAGGCGCTTGTCATGCGGGTGCTTTTCGCTTTGTTGCGCAGAGGCTTATTGCCAATCCGACTCAGCGGAATGAGCTTCGCTCCCTTGTGACTCAGCCTCTAGCCAAAAGCCGAGGCGAGATCGTGAAACCAAAGCTGTGGGTCAAAGCCCTACTCCCCTACCCTCCAAATGACCTGTTAAAAACGGACCAAACTGGAGGGGGGGTATCTGGTGCTTGACCCACAAGCGCAAACAACATCAACCTGAAACCAAGCAAAAACGGTTCAACTGGTTTGGGCGCATCCAAAAACGAACCAGGGTTACGGTATTGCTAATAGAAATGCTCGTCTTGCGGCAGGCGACAGCCGCGGAAAATTCCTCAGAGCAGCCTGAAAGCCGCTGAGGCTCTGGCAACTGGCCGGGTAAGGCATACATCTGTGGCCTAGGCATGCTTGAGCTGCCAAGGACCGCCTAAACTCCCACGAAAAGAGCACCGTTTCATCAGTTTCAGCATCAATGTAAACGGCCGTGGGAAGTGCCTTGGTGCATGCGGGGCATTTCTCATCGTTCACCACTTGGACTGAAGGGGATCGGTGTCTGGTCTCTGGGATCCTGGCGAATCAGCGGCAGCAAAGCTTTCGCGCCAGCGGGCCAAGGGCAGCCAGCAGACCTCGGACCGGTTTTCTCGGTCGGCTGTTCGTTTCGCGCGGCCATACGGCGATGGTTCAAAACCCAACTCGTACCCCCAGTCAACATACCAAACATCCCAATCCAACCACTAAACTAGGTTCAAAAACGGGTGCCAAAATGGGATCCCATTAGTTTTGACCCACGGCCATTCCTTTCCCGTTGCTGCTGCGATAGCTAGGGAATGACCTTCCGGGCTTCAATTCCCCAAAACCAGTCCAACCCACCAAACAGGAGATAGCATGGCATGCGCCAAATTAGTCGAATGGGCCCTTCCTGGTGTAGTCCCAAAGTCCTGCTCGGCTTTTTTCATTAAGCATCAATGAACAACTGACGGCTATTGAATGGCTCTTTAGACGACAACTTTCCTGTCATGCTGGGAAGCCTCAAGCTTGAACAGGTAACTTGAAAACGCAGCTAGTGCGCAAAACGGCTCATCCATGGCCGGTTTCTACACCAAGCACCAAGCTGCCAGTTCACATGTGGGTGTGGCTCGGATTCAAGCAGCATCTCTTACGGAGGCTTTAGTCTTTTTTACATATATACCAAGGTGTCATTTGGCCATGGGTCAAAACCCAAATCGGTTAGCCCCCAGTGAACATCCCAATCCAACCACTAAAATAGGTTCTAAAACGGGTGGTGAATTCACCTACCCCAAAATGGGATCCCATTAGTTTTGACCCACAGCCATTTTGGGTGTGGCTCAGAATTCAGCAGCATCTATTACGCAGGTTTGAGTCTTTTTCTACACATACCAAGGTGTCATTTTGGGGATTCCATTCTTCGAGCCGCCATTTAGTTACGCTCTGAGTGTCCCGGGCCGCTCCTCTGCACTTCCTGGGCCTTCACTTCGGCGACGGCGTTTTCGTTTTCGGCCGCCTGCGGTGCGCGTGGGGCGCCTCGGGTTGATGCGACATGCTCCTCATGGAAGGAGAGAATGACGAGAACGATAGCCCAAAGTTGCAACCAAAGCTGGAAAAGGGTAACCTATCTCCACAAAGTCAGGGTTCCAAACGGATGCTATTGCTGCAACACGCTTTTTGGGGTGTGGTTATGCAACATGGATGTTGCAGAACCACGGTCTTCTCCAGCCTGGCACCGCTTGCCAATGTGCGTCTTGCGATCACAATCCTTCGTCGGGGTCAAACTTTTCTCGGGGTCAGAAGATGATGAGGAGCGCCATCACGCTGGAGGTTTGCTTAAGATGTGACGTCTGCTTTTGGAGGATCTTGGCACGGAGAAGTGGGCACCTTCTCTGAGTGCCTTCCGCTGGCCCTCCTTCCAAACCAGCCACAAGAACGGCGCCCGCCGGAAAATTTGACTCGCCCGGCCCAAAACCCTCAACCGACATCGCGCTCATCGCAAGGCGCTCTCGAGTTGCCGAGATTTCTGCGCATGTTGAGAGGGTCTGGGGGCAAAGCAAAGAAGTCCCGACTCAACCCGCTCCGCTTGAAACCAAAGTTTATTGTGCAAAGGCTGCACGGCGAGTCTGCCCTCTCCTGCCTCGCGCTTTGGGCCTGGCATCAACTCGGGTGTTGCTTGCGCATGGGTCGAGACTGGTACAGACTTGCGTCAAACCAGCCCTGCAATCGTACATGACCTCAAGTCTCGTAGCGAGCATTTCAGCCATAGGCGACCTTTTGGACAAATAGACGGCCCTGGTAAATGAAAAATAAGACCCATCCAAACCAGCGGAACCCATCTATTTCTGTGCATAACCTATGATTTCAGCCTGCCACATGTCCAAGGCCTTGTCCAAGTAGATCAGAATATGGCTGTGGCGCCAAAAAGTGGAACCCATTTTTGGGCCGCTTGGAAACACAGACCAAAACCTGCGTAACCCCAGCCCTTAAATTTCGAGCCACACGCATAGAAACTGATACTACACCAATGCCAAGAAATCGTACTCGATTCATACTCACACAGACACGCGCACGCGCACACAACAAAAATGCCTCCACAATCCCAAATCAAACTTGGAAAAGCCATCTGGCTCCAGATCTCAAAATCACCCGATTTGGCCCTGGACTTCTTGTGAGACTTGCAAGCGCTTTCCCATGCCCTGCGGGGCACCAAACCTTCCCTTGGTTGCTTTCTGCTCTGCTAAAAGTTTAACTTCTAGTGGTTTAACCGGAAAACCCCTTCGTTGGCAAAAACTTAAAGAGTCCTAACATCCAAGCAGCAAAATGCACGAAAGGAATGGCCCGTGTTCTTCTCATCCGTCATCGCTTCTCGCCAAAACTGTACGCTTGCATGGCAGCCAAGATGGCACCAAACCCCTCCCCGTCGCCAAGGCCGGCGCTGTCTTGGATCACCTTCCGCGCCACGAGCCGCAGCCGCAAGCCCTCTGCCAGGCTCTCCAGGCCCGCCCCGGCCGGCGCGGGCTCGCCCTGCCGAAGGCTTTTTCGGCTTCGGAAAACCTGGGCCCAACCGAAAAACCGAAAACCGGGCGCCGTGGTGGGAGGAAAGGTTCACCAAGTGCCATAGGAGTTGCCGGGATAGAAAAAAAAACACTTACTTGAAGTGTTTACCAAGTGCCAGCTACCGGGATGGAAAGAATTGTGGTGGGAAATGGAGAGAAGTTCAAGTGAGTCAAATGCAAAACCGATTGGGATTAAAATGATCGATCCAACCAGAATCATGTAAAGGATTAAAACGGCAAATATCCGCACCCGTGTATGGCAAGCGGACTATCCCTTCTTCAGCTTCTATTAACATTGGTGGTTTGGAGCCCGCTGGATTGGTGGTTCAGGGGTGGTGAAAACAGAAGCCAGGGCTTCAAGTCCAAACCCCCAATCCAAACCACCAATGGGGTTACCTGACATGGGCTACTTCCATCTTTGGCCATCCAATGTCCATTCGCTGCATCTCGACTCGAAGCACGTCGGTGTGGCCCTTGCCAGCTCCATGGCTTTCTGGTGCACCTAGCGAAACACGCGCTCCGAAGCAACAAAAGGCTCTGTCTTCTTGAGGGTTTAGGGAATCCAAACGGAAACCACCACTTTGGCGAGTCACCAAAAAAAGGACACCTAGATTTGACGAGGAAAAGTCCACAAGCTCAATCGCAGACTGCCCATGCAATGCGATGCGAATATCTCCAAAAGGCTCAGGGCCAAGCCTCGTGGCCGTATCTCTGCTTGAGCTTGTTCACTTTGTCCATGAGCAGAATCTGCCATCCGCGACTCACAACGCCTTTCATCATTCGACAAAAGAAGCCGCAGCCCGCGGCCGTTATATGGGTTTGTCTTTCTCTGCGACTCTGAGGAATTCTGTAGGGTCGTCCTTTCACCAAAAAAACAGGCGTCATTCGGCATTTGAAAGCCCGTGGAGTGTCTGTCTCAAAGGTCCAAAGCAAGGCGTCCTGATTTGGATGTGATATTGGACATGGCTAGGAATTTCATCTAAATGCAAAACACTCAAAAGTGGTTGGTGGATCAAAAAAAAAACTAAACGGCATCTACTTCCCAAAACAAAAACGACCACCTCTCCGTATTGAGTATTGGAAAGGAAGGGCCAAGCGCTCTACTGGTCGGCCTCCTGACTCACCTCATCCTCCGAAGGCCGCTCAGGCAGCTGCGGAGGAATGAGCCTCAGGTCTGCACCGGTTTTCAGGGCCGCGCGGGGGGGTTCTCAAAATAGGAATCGGACCTTTCTATTGGTTTGTTGCGCAGGGAAACCAATAGGAAACCAATTGGAAGACTTGGGCCTCAATTTTGAGAAACACCCGCTTAGGATGACTCGAGCCCAAGGAAATCGAAACTCCAAGAGGCTGCCATTCCTGGCCAACTCGCAAACCAGGGTGTCTTAGCACTTTGCTCGGAAACGCTCACCGAAAGGTCACTTGGCTTGCGCGGCTCCACGTTGAAATGGATGTCTCTTGTGGCAGATCACAATCTGAGACCCGGGCGGCAGAATGTCATTGAACTCCTGCCTTGGTGTCAGAGGACGCGAGGATGACAAGAACCGTCAGCTCTTTTCCAAACCATGGGAGTGTGCTTCTGTGTGTGTGTGTGTGTGTCTTTGTGTGTGTGTGTGTGTGTGTCTCTTTTGTTTTTTCGGGGACCCCCAAAATGGTGGCTTTTCATTGTTGTTTCCTTTGAACCAACCCCCAAAGGGGTACACTCGAAAACCAAACACCCGTGATGTCAGCGAGGTGTGGCCAACTTTGGGACAGCATTGAAGTTTTGTGAACTGTGCACCGTTCCCCTCAACAATGATCAACTTATGCGTCCCATTTCTAACACGTCACGTACCTCTTACATTTCGCTTGGGAAGGAAGCTTAAGGCTTGAGCGCAAAAGTGGAATGAACTGGATTCTGGGTTCGTGCACATGCCGTTCATGCCACGGAGAAGAAAAACAAACTGCCCAAGATCGAGCTAGTCGAGTGCAGGATGAGCTCTCCTGTTTGGATTTACGTGCTGGAGATCCTATGTGGGTGTGTTTTTGGTGGTACCCCTTTTTTGGGTGGGTTTGAAAGGGAAACCAAAAGGAAAACCACCATTTTGGGGGTCCTCTACAAAACAAGGGCACGCCATCCCTTTGAGCCAAAGGGATGGCCTGGTGTTCTTGCTGTTTCTCTCTTTGGAAACCTGGCACGTTGCTATTGGAATTGGAATCGGCTGGAGCGGAAGCAGTTCAAAATCAAAAGGCACGCGAGCTGGTGGGGACCGAACTTTTCCGGCAGGCGTCAACCGTCAAAGAAAGAAGTGTCTAGAACCAGGTCAAACCTGGGCTGTCCGCTGATCCCCTGCTAAAAGTTTAACTTTCAGTGGGTTAAATGGAAACCCCCACTAAACCCTAAACCTAAAAACCTAAAGGGACGGCTAGGAACCGCTAAGAAACAACAAATGCAGTGGAGTTGTTTCTGCCTCGCCAACATCCGCCAACATACGTTCAAAAGAAAATCTCACTGGCTTGCCCGGCTGAACGTCCAGGACGAAAGCTCCCAATGTGCCAATCCGAAGCGAAACAGCCAATGACGACAGATTCAAAATACACACTCTGAACAAACATGTTGCCGCATGCTACTGCTCCCGACGCAAAACTTCAAGCACATCCAAGCAGACGCTCAGACTCCTCGCATCTTTCACTGCAAACCTGCGACCCTGTTGAAACCTAGCTCTCTTTCGGCAGGTTTATAGAAGAAACCAAAAAAAAAAACGTCAACGCGGGAGTCCAAGCTCAAACAACAAAATGCAGGGACTTGGCGCAGGGATTCTTACACACCTACCCCGTGTTTCGAAGCCGCGCAGAGCCCCGAAACCCAAAACCTCGCTGAGCCCCGCGCATGTACCGCGCCAGGCGCTGCTCCAGCGGCTCGGAGCTGCTGGGCTCCGGCGCCTCCCGGGAGGCGAGGGTCCAAGAAAATGGGGAGAATCCCCACATGGCCCTGGGTCAAAATGCAGCGAACATCAAAATTGGTGGCGCATGGGTGTTCATCCACCCCAAAATGGAGGCATAGTTGATGACCCATGGCCACATGGGAGGCCACATGGGGTTGATCAGGTCCTTTACATGGCATGACCATTGGTGGGAAAACCAAGACAAAGATGAGATTTCACCCACTGAATGGGAAAAGTTACCCATGGTCAGTAAAAGGCCGAAGGGAATACTGATCAACCACCCAAAGGGAGACCTGCCCCAAACCAAAGGCTACAACCCACTTAGGATACTTATAAGCCACTTATGTTTAGTGGGATATAACCATGGCTATTTCCTACATACATGACGTGAGTCGGAATCAAAAACCAGAATTAAAATGCCATTAATGTCCAGCTTCCCGCAAGACCCATGCCACGTGACTCAAAACCCATGCTCCAGCTGCCCTGAAGCAAGCCCAACCCAAGCCAGCAAGTTGGGTAGCTAGTAGCAGCCTGCGATACCAGCTAGCATGATTCCGAAATCTGGCGCCAGGTCTTCCAGCGCGCTGTCCTGGGTTCTCGGCTGGATGGCGCATAGGTCTCCGCCTCAAGTAGTTGCAGCGCCTGTGCCCGGAAGCGTCAGCGGACAAAGCCTTGCTGATTGCCCCTGCTCCTAGAAGGCTGGATGTCTTCCGGGGGCATGTTGGCGATGACGAGTTGTCAAGCGGATTGGAACTCATGAGCCTGAGCAAATGCAACGAAGACATAGGCAGCCTCGTTGCGCGTTCCTTCGAACGCTGGTCCAGTTCAAAAGCTCAGCTTCCCCCCAAGCCAGTAGGCCCCCAACCCCCCAGCTCAGCGCCGGCTGCAGTGAATCTCCGACGCATTGAGTTGAACCCGGGTCTTCCATGTCAGGTGACAAGCGGAAATACTCAGCACTGTACTACAGCAAAATTTGCTGCGGCTTGAGGAGCATTTCTTCATCTCGCGCAGCCAGCGCGTCGTTCCTGTTTGCTGCCCCTCGGCTAGGCCCCCAGCAGCTCGGCTCCCTTGTCGTCTGGCGGTTGGGACGTCGCACCGTGTCGCGCCGTGGCCGCGACAGCCCAGCTGCCTGGTGAGGCCAATGTGTTTGCCCCGAGCTCCAGCTCATTCCGGCCACCTCGTTGGCCGGGCCCCGCCAGCCCGGTATCATTTGTTCAAGCACGCATCGTTCTTATGATGTATCGTCATTTTGACCCTGGTCGAGTAATAATAATAGTATTAACAATAACGTTTCTCTCTTTCGCTCTTTCTCTCTTGCGCTCTTTCTCTCTCTCCTCTCTCTCTCTCTCTTTCTCTCTCGTGGCCGACGGGAATTGAACACGCTAGGTGCAGTGTCCCTTGCTTTCCGCTGAGCAAGTGTGAGATGTGAACGAGATGATCCTTTCTTGAACGCCTCAGAACTCATTCCGCCATCATACTCGCAGAAGTCGAGTGCCGTTTCGCTGCAATGACTTGGCTTAGCAGACTTGGGGTGCAGACACGGTTTCGTCAAGAAAACAATGACCAAATCCTGAATTACTTACAATGTGATAGTTGTCTCTACGGGCTCACAACCCAGAGCTCCTTCCACTCGGCTGCTCGCGCCTGCTCAACTCGGCGAAGGCGTGTGAAGCCACGCCTGGGTTGTCTCGCCCGTTTTGGCTGCAAACTCGGCGCGAACTTGCTGCACGTTGGGGCCGGCAAGGGTAGACGAAGTGCCAGAGCTCATGAAATATCCCCTCGAGCAAATTGTGCAGCACTGGGAGCCGCTCCCCTCGAACTTGGTCGGGAGGTCGTTGTTTTCAACCTGAAGCTGTACGGACAAATGTCCCCTCCCGGCTCAACAATTGTCCTGCCAACCTCCCGCTAGTTACTTAGGAGGCTTACACCCATGGTAAGTGGGTTATAACCAGGAGGAAGAACTTACTAAGTACCCTGCCTTTTTACGGCCGCGTGCAATTTCTGCACAAGTCGCAACCTTGTGAAGCTGAGAAGCGGGCAGGGTGACAAATCCAGAGCTCCTCGGCGCGATCTGCGATCTGCGATCCGAATGGCCCTGTCGTGCATCCGAGCATCTCCCATGCGAAACTTGAGGTCTTTGGCCACCCCTCGAAAACAACAGATTTCTGATATCCCTCAGGCCAAAAACCAACCCCTCAAAACACCATTCACTCACCCAACCCACGAGAGGTTTGCTGGCTGTTTCTCTGGCTTGGACCCGGCCTGGCCTCGTCCTGCTCTCGAAATTCGTAGATGTATGGCACGGGCCTGCGTGGGGAAGCAAAAAGCTCCACGCATGGCGTCCGCCAATCTTTTCACAGGCAACCGTGAGTCTTCGCCCTCATTTCCCAACGGACCGGGTTCCGTTCTAAGACGCCTGCAGGCAACCTCAGCTTCCATGTTCAGCTTCCCCCGAACTGGTGCTTCGGATTGCTGGTTTAGTGGTTAGGGGTGCTGGTTTCCCCATTTACCCAACCACAAGCCCTTCAAGTCCAAATCCGAAACCCCCAACCTGCCGGGGTTACGTGATCTCACGGCACCCGCTTTTGGTTCTATGCTCTTCAGCCCTGAGCTTGCGACGGCGGTGGCGCGCTGCCACTGCCCGGGAACTTGGTACAAAACATTGGGCGCCACCATCATGAAGAAACCCGTGAAAGCACGGCATCTGCAAATACCGCCGTTGCTGTGTGTGTGTGTTGGTCACAAAGTAGCCGATGAGAAAGGCGCCACGAACGCCGCATTGGGGAATTGCCAGGCTCTGGCAATGCCAGTTGCTCCGGTTGCTATTGGACTTTTTGGGCGGACGTAAGCCAAAAGGACAAATCGCCAGGCCCCAAGGACGAAAATCATCTCATCCCCAGATCTCTAAGAACTCATCGAATCATTTCATGGGCCCCTTCCCGGGCTCTGTGAGCAACGAGTGTCATTTGTGTGACTCATTTCGTTTAGAAAGCAAAACACAAATTATGGGGCTTTCTTCGCCGCTCAAGGCCATCTTCATCGAGTTTGTCTGTCTGTCGCAAATCCTTGTGATTGACTGGTCAATTATGACTTTCACTCATAGTGGCTGGACGGGAATGACCACAGTTCCACTCATTCAGGACGGCACTGGCTTCATCTTGACCAACATCGACTGCGGAGTACACTCCACGCTCAAGTCGTAGGTGGCCTGCGAACAATCCCCGCAGCCCGAATTGCACAAAGTTCAAGCCAAAGACTTGCCGCTGGAAGGAAAGTCACAGCATCCTTACCGTGTCTTTGCAGAACTCCCCGAAGATTCCCTCGGCAACTTTGGACCCCCCTTACTCCGAGTCCGGCTCCCAAGCCGCCAGATGCCTGGAGAGAGTGCCCGATCACCGTCATGGACATCTGCCCATCCTGGCCATGAACATTAACTGCGCGGATGCGACCTGCGAGGTTGCGAGGTCAGGGTTCATCGTGAGCTGTGAACGCCTTGGTCTCCGTTTGCTGCAGAAGGAGTGGACAATAAATCGGACGTTTTGAAGCTCAGTCAGCTGGCTTGCACACGCCCGCGTCCTCAGACGCAACTGTCCAACCCTGCGCTACGCCTTGGCGAAGGAAAACTTCTTCTCCACACCGTTCTCCATTTGTCCCACCTCAGCGGTGCGCCAAAAGGCACCGGATGCCGAGCCGCGGGCATCTGGTGCCGGAAGGGCTTTCCAGCTGCACCAAGTCAGTGAGTCAAACCCTGCGTGAATGCTGGGGGGCATGAGTTGGGGGAAGGGAGTCCGACATGATTCCAAGAAAAGGCGGCTGATCATGGCAAAGAACACCGACCCTCAACGCAGGCCTTCCTCACTTCATTGAACCTGATCTTTGTCCGGGTTTGAAGGGACTTCCAGAACGCCTTGAAACTCAGCTCAGGCTATTCTCACCACTTACCTGACGTACCCTGCCTCGATTGCCCCTTTAAGTGGGGGTTGATCAGAAGGTCCTTTTACATAGCATGACCATTGGTTGGAAAACCAAAAAAAAAATGATATTTCACCCTCGCGTTTTGAGGACGTGCCCCCTTTGAGTAAGACCTGCCAACCAAACCAAAGGCTACAACCCACGTAGGATACTTATAACCATGTTCAGTGAGATATCTCGCCATGGCTATTTTTTTACTTACATCACGTGAGTCCGAATCAAACCCGGTATTAACATGGTCTACCCAGAACCAAGTAAAGATTTAAGAAGGCGGCCGCAGCTATTTAGGGTTGGGAGTACCCCTTACTAACCTTCATCTACTCGGGTTTTGAGGACATGGCTCACGTACCCCCTTTGAGTAAGACCTGCCAACCAACTTAGGATACTTATAACCATGTTCAGAGAGATATCTCACCATGGCTATTGTTTTACTTACATCACGTGAGTCCGAATCAAACCCGGTATTAACATGGTCTACCCAGAACCACGTAAATCCGCCGACCCCTGCTCCTGAAAGGGGGAGGCGCACGGGAAGGGTGCTGCGGATGCGTTGCCACGATGATAGTTATCATCACCATTGGAGATGCAGAGGATGCTTCGATGATAGTTATCATCATCATCATCATCATCATCATCATCATCCATCATCATCAGCACCACCATCATCATCATCATCATGCGTGGACATGATTATCATGAGGACTGCTGGTGATGCTGATACGTAGTCGTCACCATGTCTTTGCCCTAGTCGTCACCATGTCTTTGCCCATTGGTGATGCAAAAGATGCGTGGACATGATTATCATGATGATGAGATTGGAGATGCAGAGGGTGCGTCGTTATCATGACTGTTGGTGATGCAGAGGATGCACGATGATGGTTATCATCGATGATGATAACGGTGATGATGACGATGATGGGCGACGGCCATGATTATCAAGAGAACTGCTAGTGGTGCTGATACGTAGTCGTCGCCATGTCTTTGTATAGTATACATTTCAAGTGTGGCGTTAGAGCCCATTGGTGATGCAAAAGATGCGTGGGATTATCATGATGATGAGATTAGAGATGCAGATGGTGCGTAGTCATCGATATCATCATGACTGTTGGTGATGCAGAGGATGCACGATGATGGTTATCATCGATGATGATAACAATGATGATGACGATGCAGAGGGCGCTACGTCTCTGCATCATGATTGTTGGTGATGCAGAGGATGCATAATGATGGTTATCATCCATGATGATAACCGTGATGATGACGATGATGGGCCACGGCTATGATAAGGATTCAAAAGTCCCGTTAGAGCCGATTGGAGATGCAGAGGGTGCGTAGTCATCATTATCATCATGACTGTTGGTGATGCAGAGGATGCATAATGATGGTTATCATCGATGATGAAAACCGTGATGATGACGATGATGGGCCACGGCTATCCTTATCTTTTTCATTTTACGAATCAAAAGTCCCGTTAGAGCCGATTGGAGATGCAGAGGGTGCGTAGTCATCATTATCATCATGACTGTTGGCGATGCAGAGGATGCATAATGATGGTTATCATCGATGATGATAACCGTGATGGCCACGGCTATGATGAGGATCCTTATCTTTTTCATATACGATTCAAAAGTCCCGTTAGAGCCGATTGGAGATGCAGAGGGTGCGTAGTCATCATTATCATCATGACTGTTGGTGATGCAGAGGATGCATAATGATGGAGATCATCGATGATGATAACCGTGATGATAACGATGATGGGCCACGGCTATCATGAGGATCCTTACCTTTTTCATATACGATTCAAAAGTCCCGTGAGAGCCGATTGGAGATGCAGAGGGTGCGTAGTCATCATTATCATCATGACTGTTGGTGATGCAGAGGATGCATAATGATGGTTATCATCGATGATGATGACCGTGATGATGACGATGATGGGCCAGGGCTATGATGAGGATCCTTATCTTTTTCATGTAGCCGATTGGAGATGCAGAGGGTGCGTAGTCATCATTATCATCATGACTGTTGGTGATGCAGAGGATGCATAATGATGGTTATCATCGATGATGATAAGGGCCACGGCTATGATGAGGATCCTTATCTTTTTCATATACGATTCAAAAGTCCCGTTAGAGCCGATTGGAGATGCAGAGGGTGCGTAGTCATCATTATCATCATGACTGTTGGTGATGCAGAGGATGCATAATGATGGTTATCATCGATGATGATAACCGTGATGATGACGATGATGGGCCATGGTTATGATGAGGATCCTTATCTTTTTCATGTACGATTTGCAGAGGGTGCGTAGTCATCATTATCATCATGACTGTTGGTGATGCAGAGGATGCATAATGATGGTTATCATCGATGATGATAACCGTGATGATGACGATGATGGGCCACGGCTATGATGAGGATCCTTATCTTTTTCATGTACGATTCAAAAGTCCGTTAGAGCCGATTGGAGATGCAGAGGGTGCGTAGTCATCATTGTCGTCATGGCTCTTGGTGATGCAGAGGATGCATAATGATGGTTATCATCGATGATGATGACCGTGATGATGACGATGATGGGCCACGGCTATGATGAGGATCCTTATCTTTTTCATATACGATTCAAAAGTCCCGTTAGAGCCGATTGGAGATGCAGAGGGTGCGTAGTCATCATTATCATCATGATTGTTTGGTGGATGATGATAACCGTGATGATGACGATGATGGGCCACGGCTATGATGAGGATCCTTATCTTTTTCATATACGATTCAAAAGTCCCGTTAGAGCCGATTGGAGATGCAGAGGGTGCGTAGTCATCATTATCATCATGACTGTTGGTGATGCAGAGGATGCATAATGATGGTTATCATCGATGATGATAACCGTGATGATGACGATGGGGCCACGGCTATGATGAGGATCCTTATCTTTTTCATACACGATTCAAAAGTCCCGTTAGAGTCGATTGGAGATGCAGAGGGTGCGTAGTCATCATTATCATCATGAGTGTTGGTGATGCAGTCCAACTGAAGGGGTCGGCGGCACTGGGCGGCAGCCCTTAAATCCGGCCACCGGACGTGATCGGGCCGCAGGCCAAAGCCCGTTAGGGCTTACCTTCAGGTATAAGGCCGCGCGCCCCATGCCGCCGACCATGCGCGGACCATGCGCAGAACATGCGCATACGTTTTATGCTGGGCCCTCCCTTATAAGGGGCGAAGGATTTGCGGATTGGTTTAAGCGATTTTTGTAGCATCTCCCCGCAGCATCCAAAAACGAGTCCAAAAACGAGTATTTTTGGGGGGTGCATAATACTGGACAACACCCCCAGCATTGCCAGCATCATCCCGGATGATGCGGATGATGCTATGCATGCTGGCGATGCGAAACAAGGGGCTGAAAGGAAACAGGAGTGAACGAAATGCAAGTCAAAGGCATTGCACGAAAATGAAGAGGGCGCTGGAGAGAAACCAAGCTGCAGGAAAATGCAAGGACGAAAAGGGAAAGGAATGCGAAAGGAAATGAGCTGAAGCGGCAGTGAAGTGGAAGGAAGTGAAGGGACATGCCAGGAAACTTAGAGGGAAAGGAGATGAAAGAACGGGAAGGGGTGCCCGGTGGCCGGCTGTGTCGCGTCAGCGTGTAAATCCGGCCACCGGACGTGATCGGGCCGCAGGCCAAAGCCCGTTAGGGCTTACCTTCAGGTATAAGGCCGCGCGCCCCATGCCGCCGACCATGCGCAGAACATGCGCCGACCATGCTCGGACCATGCGCATACGTTTTGCGCTGGGCCCACCCTTATAAGGGGCGAAGGATTTGCGGATTGGCTTAGGCGATTTCCGAGGATTTTTGTAGCATCTCCCCGCAGCGCCCAAAAACGAGTCCAAAAACGAGCATTTTTAGGGGGTGCCTAATACTGGACAACACCCCCAGCATTGCAAGCATCATCCCGGATGATGCGGATGATGTTATGCATGCTGGCGATGCGGGTGATGTTGTCCCCTAAGTCGGGCCAATTTTGCCGAAAACGTGCAACCTGAAAATCTTAAAATCTAAAGTGGATGGAAAATGGATGGAAAATGGCCTGGATTGAAATCTCAAAATCCTAAAGTCTTAGATTCTTAAAATCTTAAATGAAAATCTGACAATCAATCTTAGAATCTCAAGATCTTAAAATCTTAGAACTTAGAATCTTAAAATCTGAAAATATAAAAACTTCCTCAAGTCTTCGAATCTTGAAACCTTAAAAACCTTATGTCTTAGAATCTTGAGATCTGAAACTCTTAAAATATGAAATTCCTAAAGTCTTACAATCTTAAAATCTCAGAATCTTGAAAAGCTTTAAAAACTTAAATTCTTTAAGCCTCGAACAATTGAAATCTGAAAACCTTAAATTATTAAAATATTACCTTCCTTCAATCCCGGCTATATTTTAACTTCCTTAAACTCTTAATCTTGAATTTTTGAAATCTTGAAACCTTAAGATCTTAAAATTACAACCTTAGAAGATAGAATCTTGCAACCTGAAAATATAAACATCCTCAAGTCTTCGAATTTTGACTTCTTAAAACCCTCATGTCGTTGAATCTTCAGATGTTAAAATCTTAAATTATGAAATTCCGAAATTCTCAAAATCTTAAAATCTCAGAATCTTAAAAGCTTCAAAAACTTAAGTTCTTTAAATCTCGAACTATT